AATTTGAAGATTTCTGTTATAATTTACTTATTTACCTGGTTACTATTGCTACTTTGTCCTTCAAATGTTTTAATAATTTCCTCATCACGAAAATGTTTATGACATAAATATGAAACATTTTGGTTATTACCATTCCAATCGTTAACAATATTTGTCCACGATTTACGGATAGATTCATCCTTAGGTATAGAAAATAAAGTAGCATTTTCATTATTACTTTTATTTACTCTACTGTCACATATTAATACAGAACATAAGCGACCCATATTAAATAATTTGATGTAAAACAATATAAATAAGATACAACAGACTCATTACCAGTGATTAAATTGGAGGGGGGCACGGGGGGACGAAATATATTTATGTTAATATTTTTATTTTTTATCAGTCTATTTATAAATATTATAATATAATTTGTTCATAAAAGTTAAATACGAAATGTAGTAATTTAGTACATCACTAGATAGCATCACAGTCGCAAACGTACGTAACCGTACAACTTTGTGACCGGTGTCCCACCCTCCTCCTGCCATAAGAGTCCAGTCCTATGTAGTAGTTCGTGCTTAAAACCACCAGGGTCTCGTCGACGGGGGCAGGTAATCAACAACAACAAAACAAAACAAACAAGTGTACCGAGCGGTAGACGGTTGTAGTGTGTACCAACTACAACGACAAGTTGCTAGGTGCTGTATTCAGTATTGAGCAATGTAATCGCGTCCTGTAAATAATAATGCACCTGCCACCTGTCTTATCCTGTCCACTATTGGAGTGGTTCATGCAGTTCCCCTCTCTCCGTTCTCTGTAGCCTGTTCGTTATTTTTTATACCGTGAGATTCGTCCGACTCACACAGTCACACTCGATACAGCTAACACTCCGGTGAATCGTAATACGTAGTACATTCGGTTAGGTTTTATTATTATCATTGTCGTCGTCGTCGTTCGTTCGATCGATACATATTATACTCGTATGGACCAGAGTCCAGACGGACGTCGGGCTCGACCGTGGCACTGTGACTTTTTGGCATTGTCTATCCAAACGTGATATTCGTCCACACGATGAGTCGTTGTTATCTAACCGGAAGTGCGATTGACCAACAATGGAACGCTTAGCTGGTCGCGAAGATGCTGCTAAAGATGACGGCTGCCCGCCACAACGGGAAATCGATTGTAAACCGTAGTAATTGCCCTTAGCCCCGAACGCGTACATTGATTTCATGGAATTTTGCAAATATTTGTTGCTCACCATTTTCCTGTTTCAAATGGTAATTATTTCCGCCTCAAATATTTTGTAATTACAGTGATATAAAATGTTTCATGTCAGTTGTATCCTTTATGTTAGCAGTTATTTGTTGGTATATTATGCTAGGTTGAGTGAAACATTTTTTTTGCCCATAAACAAAGATCTACATACCTTGGTACATTTAAATTTATTGTGTCGATAACAAGTTAAATTATTGTCAAATTTGAGGAGTTAGCCTTACAGAAACTCCTCTTTCATTGTGTACTCTGATATCTAACATACCTACCAGTTATTTATGGATTATTTTTTGACAAAACATTAACATTTTATTCAGAACAAATTCATCCCTGTTAGTTGTTACTTCTTATATATAATGTCTTTTATAATTTTTGGATCAGAAGTTCTTAGAAATTATGTAGGTAATCAGACATATTAATGTTTTTCAATAATTTTTTTAATGTGATAATTAACTACAAAATGGATGTAGCACTATTGCGCATCTTTACATGTTCAGTATTCAAAATCCTCATAACATCAGGCACTTAATATCTCTAAAAACATACCGATTTTGGCCGTTAAAATAAAATAATTATTCCTTATGCCAAAAAGTATGGGTATTATATGCCATATACTTCACTATACGTAAATATATTACATAACTAGTAAGTAGGTACTTACTATAATAATATATTTATAATTATTCAAAAATGTGTGAAGTACCTTCGTACAATTTTTGTAGGTAATTCATAAAATAGAATAAGAATTAAAATGTTTGGAAATTACAGATGTATTTTCCATCTTGTTTGAGATATTGCAGTTGTCTATAATTACTGTTAAATAAGTCCTATTTCACACCTACCTATATGTTAGGTATGTTTTGTTTTTTATTTAGATTGTTTAAGTTTATAATATACGACGCCACTACGCCAGCATGACACATTTACAGCTTTTTAGTTTGAATTCATGTTCATAGTTTACGATTTCTAACTTAGTTATACACTTATAAATAACTTACAAAAAAGAAAATAGGGTACTTTTCTGTTATCCCTACTACCTCGAGTCTCCATTCTGTTATCTCGACTACCATGCCGATGCTGTGACCACAACTCGCTCGATTACCTATTGCTGACAGTTGTTGTATTTCCGTCATTGTATTTATTCATTATAAAATAATTATGAATCTGTGGAATTTACCAAACAGTGAAAAAGATGCGATTGAATTTTTTCAAGAGAAGGGTTTACTTCCGGGGCACCGTGAATGCAAAAATAAAATTTTAGACTTCTGTAACCGTGATTTTTTATTTTTATATGTAATATTTAATATCTTGATGAATTTATGTTTAATGTTATAATTTATAGAATAGACTTACAACTGCTGTGATAATTTTAGAATATGTAACTTGACGTTTTGTGATAATTTTGACATAATAATATACATTGTTATATAAATGACAATTCATGTGTTTTATCTATTAAATTATAGAACTATCTGGATATTACTTTAGTAGTCGAGATAACAGAATTGAGTGGTCACGGAAGTCGCGGCATCGAGTGGTAGTAGGGATAACAGAAAAGTACCGAAAATAGTGCCTTAGACATGTCTTGGTAATTTTTTTCTCATGTAAGTGTTGTCAGTTGTATTGTTGTATATTTATTGAAGTATACAATGTTTAATTAATTTTCATATTTTAATTCAATTTTTTTTTTATGCTATGTTTAATATTAAACTATTTATTATACAATTGACATAATAATGTAAACAATAAACATACATATGTAATACATTATTATAATAATGTACGGACCTTGCTGAAGGATCCACACTGCCCTTCTACTGCGGTGCTTGTGTGGTTAAATGTAATTTTACAATGTGTTGCCTCGGCTCATTTGCTTCATTGGCCTATTATTATGAATAATATGATTACGATTTTTGAGTATTTTAAATTGTACAAACAATTTACAATTTTAAAATACTCATAACTCTCTTTCAAATTGAAATATAATAAAAAGTTCACGAGAAGCCTTCTATTATAATCTTACCTTTAATTTTAATAATTGGTCAATTCACTCTAATTTTTAAGCTAACAGAGCTAAATGTGATCTGCTAAACTTAAAATTTGATATGTTACGCTCTTGTAAGGAAACACATGCTTTTATAATGTCCTCTTAATTTAACTCTTTGTGTGCACCAAACTGGTCGGCACATACAACAAATTACATAGTGACATGGGCCTTTTATAATTGCTCAAATATTTATTTCAGAATTTCATAGTTTTTAAAAAATTTTTATTAATTAGCATATAATTTATTATTTGCAGGTTTCGGTTGGAGCAAGACAAGCATTTGACTTTCTCGGATTTATGTGGGGATCAGTATTGGCAAACTTTTTTGAACTTTTGTTTATTATTTTTGGAATATTTGGTGTTGTGCAGTCAGATGTGTTATACTTATTATCAGTATGTTATATTTTATTGATTACTTAATGATATGTAGATAACATTTAATTTCATTAGTTAGTTGGCCATTTTGATTTTGATTTTTTTTTTAAATGTATTTGTTATTGTATTATAGTATTCAGCATGGAGTATTGTTTGGTGTATTTGGAATATATTTGTAGTTTTATATTATTTGGAATTTTCAATTTTTAGTGATGTAAGTATATTACAAATACAGTTTAATCTTACAATAATAAAATAATATTCTTAGATTGGTTGTTTTTAATATTATGATATTTTTATTAAATCATTTCAATTTGAAAAAAAAACTATATTTGTTAACATTATTATTGTTAATATTTTGTAGAGTTTTGATGTGATGAGTCTTGGTGCAGATAGTGTTAGTTGGTGGGAATCTAATGGTCCTGGTTGCAGAGTATTCTTTTATCCAAATCACACTGGCATTGAGGAAGATGCTATTAAACCAGTTAGACCAGATTTGATCACTGGATGTGTTATGGATTATCAAAAAATTGAAACTGCTCAAGCTTCCTTACAAATACTTTTTGCTGTGAGTTATTATTGCAATATTAAATTTTTTTTTCTAAAATTAATTTTTTTTATTTTCTAGGTTTTTGGTATTATCTGCAGCTTGTATGTATCGTGTTGTTCAAAATCTAGAGATGAAGGTATGTTTATTACATATCTATAAATATGTACAATTAAACATAGTTTATAATAAGTAATATACATTTTTTTAGATCTGAGATATGACATTTTAAAGGGTGATATACTGGTATTATTATAACACTTGTATCTAATTTACACATGCGTAGAATATATTTATAATCTTTTGTATACTTCATGTTTTATTTTGGTAACAGTTATTCAGCTAAAATATTGAAAATGAACCAACTCTCTGTTATCATGTTAATACATAGTTGTGTTTAAAAATAATGTTGTAATTGTTTAAGAGGGTATCAGACTATTTATTTTCTATCTCTAATAGATTCTATCCTATGCGTAACCTTCTACATTTCCAGTACAATTTTGTTATTTTTAATACCTATTATAAAGTTTTTATATTTTTATTTGAAATATACAATCTATGCCCTAGGCATAATAAGAATATAGGCTACAAGCAGTTTGACATGAATGGGTAAGGGAAGAACCATCCAGTGATCGCACTTCCTTTTGTTATTTATATGTAGATCTTATAATATTATAAAGTTAAAAGCTGATTTCTTTCCCCCTACATTCTTGTTGGTTTTATTTAATCTTATAATTATAAATTCAGTTTATATTGCACTTTTAACATTTATAACATATGTATCCACCAATATGTATTATTTTGCCACTCTGTTCAATTGTTTGAAAGCATAATAAAATGTTGGTTGGTACAAACATGTTTTTGTTAAAATTTCTAAGTTTTACCATTTTATTAAGGCACATTATGTCTTTTAAAGCACCAATAACTGTCTTAAGTTCTATGTTGAACAGGTTCCACTTTATCAAAAGTTTCGTTTGATGATAAAAATATAAGGACAAAAATATTAATTTGATAATAAGTATTAAGTAAATTAACTGAATCTAGGACAAAATATCCAAGGTTAAAATATCCAGGGATAAAATAATCAATATATGGGACAAAATATGCAATTAAAAAAAAATCATAAAAATGTATTATTAATACTCATATAATTTTTTTAATTTAAATTCATTATATTGTTCATTTTTGAATCACGTTTTAATATCATTTAATATCAATAATACTTTATAATACAGCAATAAAATAATAATAAAAATAATATGTTGCGTTATATATAATAATTATATCTTTAGTTATAGGAATTGTGTATTACACTATATCATCTAAAAGTTTTTAATAATATTTAAAAAAAAATTGTTTAAAAAGAGGTAATAAATTATCGTATTATATTTGCTATTGCAATTAAAAAAATATCTAATTCTTTTTCACCATTAATATATTCAAGACAAAGGAGCTTAAGTTTTATTATTATCTTATTACTTTATTACAAAGTATTATCAATGTTAAATGTCATTTAAGAATGAACAATGTATCTAAAGAAAAAAAGGGGGAAAAAATATTTTTTTTTATTTGGATATTTTGACTTGGATATTTTAGTACAGGATATTTTTTCCTTGGATATTTTGTCCCAATACTAAATTAACTACTTCACATTCAAAACTGAAAAACTATATTGGAAATTAATAATTAAAAATTGTACTTGTGTAAGAGTGTAGTTGTGTCTGTTTAATTTTATTTTAATCCGCGGATTGAAAACTTCAAAGTTAGTTAAATGTATTAGACTTCAGTGCAAATAAAAATAATGAGAGCTGATTTCCGATGACAGATTCTTATTATTGCAATTTAAAAATAGTTAAATTAATTACTTTTTAGGAATTTACTACAAGAGTAAGCAACCAAAAACTGTTACACCAATATATTCTATTGAATATAGTTCACGCCGAGGAGATGAAATTGAAGAAATAAGCACTATCAGTGGCAGTGAAGGTAAAATACATTATAAATTGTATTTTGTTTTAATGTATCATAAATCCGTAACGTTTTTAAAGCAATTGCATTTTTACTAGATGGTGATTTGGATGCACAAAGTTCTCATAGTAAACCTATGACTCCTAGACGAGTAAAACGAAGAAGTGTAACATCAAGGGGTACACTACCTCCTCCACATCAAGCTCCACCGCCATATCTTAGACGTCAATCTAGCTCTCAATATTCTAGTCGAAAACATAAAAATCCTGTTTCTAGACTTATCCAACAACAGTATTCAAGTGTGTAAATAAATTAATAACTAATTGTTATTTGTGTTATTACCTTTGTACTTATTGTTTTATAAATATTAAAATTATTTTAGATAACGGTTTGAACGATTCTTCGACATCAAATGATTCAAGCCATCCATTGTTCCCAGAATGTCGAGTTGAACTAAGACATGTTAACAGAGGCATTGTGAATCCTGCCTTAGATACAGAATCTGAACGTCCAACATCAGCACGTTCAACATATTCAAATTTCCATGGAGCCCGAGGACGGCCCAGACAAGTTAGCACTCATTCTACTTTTTTTGCCCCTTCAGAACAACCTCCGCCGGCTTATCGGAGCAATGCTTCTGTTAATTCTGAAACTGTTATATGATTTAGAACAAATGCAGAAAATGTAGTTCAAAGTAGATACAATTTTAAGATCTCATTTTTATTTTAATAATGTTACTACTTAATGTAACTAGAAAAATGGTAGCATTTTGTTGTTCTACCTTCATTATTTAAAGTGTAATTATTAGTTTTCTTATTTGCATTCAATGATTTTTAAAATGAGGCTTGCATGAAAGGACACTCTTATTCCTACTATTTCACCCAAAGATAATTGAAGCATAATTAATTAAAGCAATATAATTGGATTATTCAACATATATCAAGTTTATGCAGTCATTGTTTTAAATATCATATACACCTCATAGAAAAAAAATTATATTGTTACTTATTACTAAGTATTAAAATAATTAACTCAATTAAATGTGCTGTTCAAAAATGAAATAACAAATTTTTTAGAGGTAGGTAAAATAAATGCGTTTAGTTTGTAGGTAACACATCAAACTATTACTGAAAAATCGTCTTTTTTTTTATTTTAATAATTAGTACACAATATTCAAATTAAATAATAGGTAGATTTTTTCAATACAAATTTGTAAATAAAAGTTTTTTCTGATACATATTGAACAGAAATATGAACATTTTTGACTATTGACAAATATTTTCAATTAATAAATAATAGTGTCCTTACTGAAATTAAATTTAAATTAGTTCTAATAACAGGTATATTATACATCATACAATTAAATTAAATTAAAAATTCTGATCATTAATTAAATTTAAATCAGAACACTTTTACTTTAAAAAGAATGAATATAAGATTCAAGATTGTATTCTTTAAATGTAATATTACTATTGATCAAAAATTTTCAAATAGGATTTTAACTTTTTTTTTACCAATATAATAAAATAACAGATATTAATTATTTTTTTATCTATCGAAATATAATAAAATTAAAGACTTGATTTATACAACGAAGTAATTATGGCAATAATTATTATTGCAATTTTTAAATTTTATCTGACTATTGTTTCTATTTTTACTTGGGATGAACCTAAACTTGGAAAGTTTTTTTCATGAATGACCAAAATTTAGATAGTTCCTGTTTTTGACCATAGTTAAAAATAGAATTGACGGTGTATAAATATAAATTGATGTATCATACACTGTATCCCCTGCTGGGGAGGTATATATGTTATTATAATTTTAAAATTATTTAGCTCAAATAGTTTTTTTTAATATCACATTTTCCAAATGTTAACTAAGATGTAGGTGAATCAGTTTTTAATTGTTATTAGGTTTAATAGGATGTCAGTATATTATTTGGTTTCTTTCTTACTCATGTGGAATATGGTACATTTGTATTCTAATTTTGTGTCATTAATTTTAATATTAAAGTGAATTTGACTTGTTAACAAACTTAAGAACCATAAGTTAAGAACACAATCTGAGTTTGTACATTGACTTTTTTACGTTTTTTTTTTAAATTGTTTGCAATATATGATCTTTTTGTACTGTGATATTTTACATACTCATAATATCCATACAAGCTGAGATATCCTTAACTTTGATGTGCCAACACAAATAATGTTCTTTCCTTTATGTTTGGTAATAAGTAAATTCACCCTCAGTAACATAGCTAACAATATTAATTGTCCATGTTAGATGTGTCTAAAAGTTATAGTGAGAATTGAAATTGTGTACTGAAATTCTATTAAATTATCAAGAGTATTATTTCTTAATATAATTTAAGAATATTCCATTAGCTGTAACTTGTATTAAATATTCATACAGTTGTTCAAATTACAATATTTTAGCTGTAAAACTGTTACCAAATTATAATACGAAGTATATGTAAGATTATAATTATTTAAGATTTTTAAGATTATTAATAAATTTAAATCCTTATTTTTAATGTATGCATAATATAAACTGCCAATTAAAATTAGGCAAAGATCATGGCTTGTTGATAGTTATCTTAAAAAATAATAATAATTTTAACTAAAACATCTATCCAAGCATCAAAATGAAGAAATTAGACATTACATCGTCTTAAAAAGATTACACCTTTATCAGAACATTCGTGTTCCGTCCACTTTTTATAACTTAAAATTAGAATAAGTATAATTTTTAAATATGCATATTTTTGTATTTTAACTCATATTTTTTAAACTGTATCCATGAATTATGAATGTCAAATTCATATTCAAACATTCTACCTATGTATTTAAATATTGAATGTAAATGTTGTTGATTAGCTTTTAATTAGCAACAAATTTGTCTTTAAAATGTTAACTTTAGTATAATATTATATAAACGACTGATGTTTAATGTTTATACAAGTGTTTGAAATAATAGATGAAATGTATATAGCTTAAGGTTTTTAAATTGTATTCAAGTATTATATATAATAATTAATGATGTTAAATACAGATTGTAACCATAATGTGTGGTTCACTTACACTCAGTACAATTCACATTCCAAAATACCGTTAGGACTGTGCTTTAGTTCTGATTTATAGGCAAGCAGCAATTAATGAGAATCAACCTTTTAAAGTTTCAACCACGTAAGCAAATAAATACTTAAGAATTTATTGACGAATGAAAATACATGTTCGGGTTAAATTTTATTTTATGTACAAGTAAATACCAAAAAATTATGTATTGACAGCTTTTTATTTATACAACTATACATAAAATTCAAAAAAGATTAAGTTTAGTTTAACACAATATCAAATCAGTCTAAATCTATCTAAACTCCAGAACAAAAATATTTTGAATATTAATTGTGGTGTCCTTTAGTGAGCTAGTAAAATAAATAAATGTAGGAAGACACATTCAATTATTTGTAGTTAGTAGTTTTTAATTAATTAATAAATAAATGTGTTAGTTAAGTAGGTTACTTTTAGGCTTTGTCGCAGATGTAGCATTACAACAATTCATTTAGGCCAAATAATTGTGATATTTTTTTTTATGTAGATTCTTTTCTAACACGGTGTTTTTATTTTTTTTGTGATTTTCTGTATGTACTTAAAATATGTTATGTATTATTCAAAATAAACAAGCTTATTAGAATTTTACATTGTCGGGTAATGTAGTTATAACCATGATTATGAATACCTAATATTACAGCTAAAAATTTATTATCAATGTTATAACTATTTAACAAAAAATCAAAATCATATAACCACCATATTATTTTAATGATATAAATTGTTAAAAACACAAAACAACATTAACACGCAATTTGTATATAAATGGGTGTAATTTTGTTCAACATCCAATATGCAGGTTATGAGCTATGTCATTGATAACCTGCCGCTGTAACTGCTATAAATGATCAACATCAGCCATGGTTATGCCTTTCCAGGCTATTGTAATACAATAGTGTTGTAACAATTGTTGGAGCAGTTCTAGTTCATCTAGCATTTCTAATCTTTCCATTCGATATCTATCATCTTCGGGTAAGTATTCATATATATTAATCATGTTCCAACTCCGTGCACTGTCCCAACCGACTCTTACAAACCTATTTGACAAAAAAAAAAAAATATATTTTTAAATTATACTAAATAATGATTTGATGTTCATACCTGTCCATTTGTGTTTGAGGACTTAAACATGCATCAACGCCAGCTAACTCACATCCTCTATTGCGTAAGTTATCGAGCATGATCCGTCCAAAATTATCATTCATGTTAACCTAAGCAATCAATATTTATATTATAGAAAATTGTAACTATAGAGAACTACAATTTCTTACTTGTTCATAATTAATAAAAAAAATGTCATTAAACTTCTTAGCGATCCAGTGCAATAACATTGAAGAACTTTCTGGCTCCATATATACAAGAACGCATTCAGTTAAAAACATTGTGGGTGTATCAAAATTTATGCCGCTTTGAGTTAATTTCTTGTCCAGTTCTGACAGATTTCGAAGATCTGTGCCGATTATGTGGTAATCAGATGCATGTAAATCTGGTCCTATGATTTTGACTTCACTCTCTAAATAATAATAATCAATGATTAACCAAAAAAAATTATATAATACCAATAATTATCATTCATCAATAACACACCATGTGGGCTAATGGTCTGTAATAAAATTTTACTCTTTTTGATTAGAAAACATTTTTTGGACGTAACTGAAGCAAAGTCAATTTCAATATAATTGTTCACTGTTATTCCACTGTTTTTCAATCTCCAGTAGAGAGTGTCAAACCCAGCACCAAGGTTTATTATTTGACAGTTTGATCCAGTTTTCTACAAAAACATAAAATTAAAAGTATTTAGATTTCAAGATTTATTTTTTAACAATCAAATGATATGTACTATTTTACTGTATAGTCAATTAACACTCTTTTGAAATCTTGAAGAATAAATAAGAAAAATACCTTGAGAAATTTGTCCATGAACATGGCGACACCTTTAGTTCGAGCGTAATATCCTCGATTAATCTCTGGTGTCTTACGTTCATAGCCGGTAACAAAATACTGAATGAAATCGTCTTGCCAATAGCCCATCTTTACAGCTGAATACTTGCACTTTGTCGCATCACAGTTGGTTGCTTGCACTCCATCATCGAAAGACATATTTTAGCTTACGGTAATTATTAGTCTATTAATTTAGTAGTGTTGCGGTAACTTAAATGTCATTATTCTGCAATACCAGCAAAGGGATACACATACATCGTGAAAAAAACAACTTCAGAATCTATCCAATTAAAATTATACAATTGCGTTGGAGAAATCTGGACCTAGGAGTTCCGTCAGATAATTGAAAATTGAAACAAGTAGGTACTATAGATAGTTAAATCTATCACCAATACACAAACATCACAGAATATATTAAAATACAAATACTACATTCCAAACATCAAATTCAATGAATTTCCTAATTCCTATGTTTATATAACTGTACTCATAAAACGTAAAAAGTCCAAGGTTCGACTATATTATAATTCAGTAGTCTAGACCCAGTGCTCCTCAGATGCAGACTTTAATAGTTTTTATTTTAATGCTTCAAATTTTAATGTTTTATTCCTTTATCAGTATTCAATGTTATTGTTATGTTATCATATTCTATCGGCGGATTCATACTTAGATCATATACCCGGCCTGGATAGAGCAGGCGCAGCTATAGCGTATATCACGCGTTGCCCGTGTTTGAAGCAGACCTGTTCATGCCCGAAGTACTTATTACGCATGCGTGAGAAATGAAATAGATCTCGCGGGACGGGGAAGGAACAATGTGTTATAGTGATAAGAACGATTAGGTACTGAATGCTTAGATCATATACTTTGCTCATGCGCAGTGATGACTTCGGGCACGAACAGCTATGCTTCAAGATTTTAAACCTTAGCTCTATCCAGTGTATATGATCTAAGGATTCATACCACAACCACAGAATTTCACAGAATATAAGTTATAACCATTATTACAGAATAATTATATTATATTATTATTATTATTTATTATTACTTTTACTGAATACCACAGATGTATAGAGCCTGTGATGAATAGTGATTACTGAATAGGTAGAGTAGACATGTACATAGACCACGAACCCACGAGCCACGATTTAGGCATGATTTAGGAATAAAAATACTAGTAAAAAATTAAATAATAATAGCCAATGTCAATAGGTACTTAATAGTAATTTTGTATACTCTGTACTATGAATTCAATGGTATGACACAACGTCAGCAATAGCATGACAAAATATACTTTGTCATAACCTATGTCAGTATGTCACTATGAGTTATGATGCAAAAATATACCTACCTTTCTTTATAGTTCATAATATTTGGATAAATATATATATTCAAGTTAATCTCAAATTGCAAGTGTTGTACACTTAAAGGTTTGAAACTGGAAAAAAATTCCAATTTATTAATATTCATAATCTATTCTAATAATCAGTTTATGTCTAAGTCCATTATAAAACCTAATACTAATTACAATAGTATAAGGTCTATGATTATAAGTAAAATTGTATGTACCAGGGTAGTGGGAGGTTGGATGTCGTAGATATTAGTATATAATATGTAAAATCAATCTCATCTCATTTACTTATTGTATAACATGAAAATAAAGATTGTAAATATTATGTTAGTTCAATAAAAAATATCGACGTGGATAGTCTATAGATATATATCCACCTTGGTTACAATGTTACCTTGAACAACTTATTTAGAACAAGTAGTTTTGTAATCTCATTATGTTGATAAGATAATAATGTATTCACAGAATTTTATAATAACTTAGTACCAGTGTGGCAGTGTCCAGTACAGCAGTACACCAGTACCTATACTGAGACTTTTGTATTTAGTGTTTTTAATTGTGTCCACAAAAATTTTATTTATATTTTAAACTTTAAGTTTTCGTACCAGCTTCTTCACAATGGTACAAGCATGGTTCATGGCAGACAATTGGAGCGGTGATCAACGTGAAGAACATCATATGCAGCCGCCTGAATTTGTTGAACTGGATACTTTATATAAACTCACTTTAGTGGAACATTTCAAAGTATATACTAGACACCTAAATGATTAGTCAATTTTTTTAAAAATAATTTGAATGACTTCTCAATAGGTTACCAAATGCTATTTTCTGTGTAGACATTTCTAAATTTTAATATTTAACAAGAAACGGTTTTTTAATTTTCACGACCAGGTATTATATTACTATTAATATAGTTCTACTGTTACTAGAATAATTGGAAAGTACTATTATCCAATTAAATTAATTTTTAAGTATTTTGTTTAATTTCAAATTACCATTTACACATTTATTTAATAAAAAATTTATATTTTGTGTTGGAGTAGGTAGGTAATAGGTATATGATAGAAAGTTGAAATAGTTTCGGTACCTACTACCTATAATATTAATTTATATATTATAATGATTGCCACTGTAATATAATATAATACACTGTCTACTTTTCTGAAGTGTACTTATGCTAAATATTTTAAAATATTTGACACTCAATGATCATTGAATAGCTTATAACTTATCTATATCAAATATTCAAGTTATAATGATAAGTAGGTAATACTTAATTTAATACCACAGATTGATGTTTTACAATATTATCTGGATAATACTTAAAATTATTATAATATAATAAAATGTATGTTGCATTTTTTTCCGCAGTTGAATTGTCTAGTTTATAATTATACTTTTTATCATTTGCAGGTTAATGAATCAGATCCTACTAATGATAAACTGTTAAACTCCATTAAGAAAGATCGAGGTTACTCTTATGAGGATGAGATAACATGTTCTAAAGAATGCTTACCAAACTATGAAAGTAAAGTGGGTACATAGTGTAAATATTGTTAAATGAATAAAATTAAACATACATAATATCTAAGTTTTAATGAAAATCATCCAAATATAAATTATTTTGTTATATTATAGAATATGATGTATAATATTTAAAATATTATTTTAGTTAAAAATGTTCTTTGAGGAACATTTACACACAGATGAAGAAATTCGATTGGTTTTGGAAGGCTCAGGCTACTTTGATGTTAGAGATGGTATAAATGACAGATGGATACGTATTAAAGTTGAACCTGGTGATTTATTAATAATTCCAAAAGGAATCTATCATCGTTTTACATTAGATACTAATGTAAGTATAATATATGAATAACTTAAATAATAAATTAAAAAAAATTAATTTAACATAAAAATAAACTAATTAACTCGTAAGTTACTGAATAGCATGGGAAAAATATAACTCGTTCAGTTAGAAATTACTTCTAAAAAAAAAGAAACCCGTTAATCCACTTAGTTAAAAGTAACTTAACTTTAACTTATTAACTCATTAATATCTAGCCTCTTGTACATATATATATATATATTACCGCATCTGAATAACTCAGTAACTTCACTTAGCTTGACACAATGGGAAGAGAGCCAGTCTATTGGTAAAAGCCAAAAGGTCTATTGTTATGACTTATGAGTTATGATTGTTCAGTATCCATGTTAAAGTTAAATTTTAACTAAACATTTTTTCCTGTATTATCCTGGGTAAGACTAAGAAAATACATAACTTTTTGATGAAATAAAAAAACTCAAATTATTTTGAATCTTAAAAATGTAGGTAATATATAATTTTTTATTTTTATTTCTAGAATTTTATCAAAGCCAAAAGATTCTTTGTAGGAGAACCAGTCTGGACACCGCATAATAGACCAGCAGATGATATGAACTGCAGAAAAGAATATTTGAATCAAATAATATCTTGTTAATTAAAAAAAACAATATATATAAGAATATTATGATGGTAATTCAATGTCCATACTATTGTATTAAATATTTTACTCCCATATAATTAAAACATTTCAGTTTTTAAAAAAGCTATGTTTATTGTAGGTATTTATGTGTACCTAAACAATTTGAAATATATTTTTAAATTTATCTATACATGACATTTTCTTACTTAATTTTTAAACTACCTATTCATTGACACTGAATAATATTATTGTACTCTCAAAATATATGTCATTGCATTAAATCATTTGAATTTTTATTTATCCTACAGTATATTAATTTATTTCATTTATTTTAATTAAATAAATAATTTTTTAACATCTTGTTAAAACTGATGCACTTAGAACTAAAACGCATATTTATAAATTGAATATTGTTATACCAGGGGTTGAGAGGTCAGAAATAACCCTTTAGGGGTGTCCTGATATTTTGAAAATAACATATTGCATTACAGAAAACCTTTTTTTCTGCTAAGAAATTTGTTTTTGGTCTCTACAGAGACAACTAGACAAGTAGTGCTAAAATCAGCATTTGAGGATATTTATAACCCATGAATAATGTTAATGTCTCATTTGTTTTTAATATTTTTGTTGATAGGGGTCCTCAATTTTATTTTTACTCACAGATCTATCACACCCGTGTTTAATATAAATCAAAAATGTAGAAGTTGGACATAATGTAGCATGTAATTTCTCTGTTCATAGTATAGCAATATAATGCAGTACCTACTACCTACTCACTATGAAAACATTGAAAATACTCTAGTGTAAATATGAAATAACAAGTTAAATCTTTAAGAGGACGTCGTGCGTCGCATCCGCATGTATTTCTCCGTCTTTTACACGTATGCCATGGCAAATTGTTGATCACCAATTTCAATAATGTGCTGTTAGTTTTGATATTAGAGTGAATTGACCTACTATACAATTTATAATTAAGATTATTATTTAGGGCTCCACGTAGGGTTTTATTGATATTATTTTTAAGTAATAATTTGACCTTTTTTAAACCGTACAATGTAGGTACATTTGAAAATGATGAAACTTAGGTAATTAAAAATACAAATATCAATAAAAGCTTACGTGAGGCACTAGATAATAATCTTATCTTTAAATATTATGATAGGTTAATTCACTATAATATCAAATCTAATAACACAGTATTGAAACTGGTGATTAACAATTTGCTATGTCGTAGGTACGTGTATAAGAGGAAGACAACAAATGCCAGTTTGCAATCTCTTAAGAGAACCAAACTACTGTCTACAGTCTACTAAATACCTACTAATTATTATTATAGTGTAAGCCCATCATCTAAAATATATATCTAATGTGATTGTAAATTATTTATGAGAAATATAATTAAGATTATCTTACATTTTATAACAATACATGTTATGTTTCTTAGGTATGATCAGTCTTTTTAGTTTTTACAAAGCAAATACAAAAGCAAAAATATATTTTTATGATAGGTATTTTATAATTGTGTTGAGACCAATAGACAAAACACCTAAACAATATTAAACTGATCTCATTTTGACATTTTGTATTGATGTTAATGACATCTGACATCTGTCATAGGTATTATTAAAGGTGTAGGAAAATGGAGCTTATGATTTTAGACGGTGTTATAAATAAAAATAACATTTTATTCAGAACTGTAATTGCATAATATTAATATAGATAGCAGGGTCATTTAGAATTCACCCAAAATCAAAAAATTTTAGCGTAGGTATAATATAATAATGGTTTTGAAATTAAGACTAACATTTCAAAATATTAGAATTATCAATTAACAATCCGTTTTGACCTATTTTGTGGATGGTACCTACTATAAGCTTATAGTATAACTGAATCCACATGCATATTTAAAAATTGCCAATAGGTTAATAGGACATATAATTCTCTGTTCTAATAACAATAACTTAAGAGGACGTGATACCTGCATGTGTTGTCTCCGTCTTACAAGTGCGTAACATAGCAAATTGTACACTCAGCAGAACACGTGTAGCTCCGTTAATATAAAAATTAAAGTGAATTGACCTCTTATAAAATCTAAAGGTAAGATTATTATCTAGACAAACTCATAGGCTTTTTATTATATTTTTATTTTAACGCGAGTTATAAGTATTTTAAGATGTATAAAAAATTTTAAATTTTAAAATACTCATAACTCGTGTTAAAATTAAAATATAATAAAAAACCTATGAGGTTGCCTAGATAATAATCTTACCTTTAGATTTCATAAGAGGTCAATTCGCACTAATTTTTAAACTAACGGAGCTACACGTGTTCTGCTGAGCGTAAAATTTGCTATGTTAGGCACTTGTAACTGAGTTGTAAGACAGAGACGAGAGACAACACATGCAGGTATCACGTCCTCTTAATATTACATTATTACCTACCTATTTTCCTACTTACGTCTTACCATTCATATACGACTGTACGAGCTATAGGTAGATCGTAGATTTTCCCCGTTTCCATGTTTTATTGAAAATGTTATGTCTGATCTAGGTAGGTACTGATAAACGAGTTGAAAAGTATTCAGATCACGCCTTAAATAAATATGGATATCGAAGTAAGTATAGTGTTAATGTGTTATTGTATCTAATGACACTTTGGGCGGTCATGTCTTAGCGGCTAGCAGATACCCAGCCTACCACGGAGTACGGACAACAAACTCATTCGAGTCATTTCAATATTTACTATTCAATAGGATCAATAAAAAATTAAAGGCTTTTTTGTAGAAAGTTTTCAGCAATTATGAAATTGTTAAAACAGCTAACAGTTATAATAACTGTTGAAGTTCAGATATGTAGATCAATCTGAAAAACACAATATTAAGTACCTAATATTCTAAAATACTATACCGTAAGAAACCGCCAAAAGGAAAATTAAATTATTAAATTGGAAGGTGATATAAAATTTCGAGTGGCCATGTAGATGTAAGTATAGGCATAGCGCAATAGACGCAAAATCTATATGGCTACGTATTTTTAGTCTTTACGAACTTTTTATTTATACTTTGTTATTCTTTTTTTTGTTTTGTAAAATATACTTACATGACAAGCTGTCATAGTTAACACATTACACAGGTAAAAAAAGTTGTCAAAGATCCAAACGTGCGTTATTTTCCCAATATATATTCTTACATACCTGAAGCAGCTTGTTACTAGTATAGATATGCTTATCGTCCTACGCACAGTGTTTAAGGCGAACTTGTCAGTTGTCACATATTATGCCTTTTTATTTTTGAATTTTTGTTTGTTTAGTTTATTCTTTTTTTTATTTCAGCAAGAATTCAACCATAACAGTATTGCTGGTTCAACCAGTGCGTCATTCTTATTGGTGTATCAATAGCTATTAAATACGAGGGATATTCATAGGGTACACCTTTAATATAATTAAAAAATACCCTTATTACCCTTACTCTACAAATACAATACATATTTAATTCTTCTCCCCTAGTTTAAAATATAACCTAACTTGTGTAGGTACTGGGATGAAATGTATGTCGTGACTATATTTTCCTCCAAAAATGAGATATATCGTTTTCCTCGGCACTCTTCATTTTCCTAAAAACAAAAAATAACAAGTTTTGACAATTTTCCTTCATATAATAAATATATTTTTAAAGTCATATTATATATATTTTATATATAATACCTTTGAATTATTAAAAGTTAGGTGCTCGTGCCAATATTATCTTTTTGACATATTATGTATAATTTAAATAAAACAAATACCTACTAAAATAATAATCTTAAGTCATATTAAATCAATCAGAAAAAAAAAAGTAGTTAAATAACATTGCCAACCTGATATTCCAGATTCTAGTTTTGGCTTAAACTAAAAAAAAGGCTTTTTTGAAAATTGTTCAAGCATGTTAAAAATTAAAATTTGAAAAAAATACAATAACTTATTACACAACACAATTATTATTCCTTGATAATACGGTGTACACAATAATACAAAACTTCTTGGCGCAATAATATTTAAAATATCTGCTAAATATTTTAGTACTTTGAGGAAAATGTATAAAATTTTAGTCCAACAAAATAATTGGAGGAAAATTAAAACTAACCTTTTGTGGAGGAAATCATTAATATAATATGTAATATAGGTAGACAGGTAGTAGGCACCTATGTGCTATGATTAATAAATGACTAAACATAAGGATAAAGAAACTTTTGCATTTCTATATTTAAAGATAATAATATGAAAAACTGTTTCATAAATCAATAGTCATACTTATTACAATGTTTTGTTTCCGATAAGTTGGCTACAATATAATAGACTATATACGAACAAGAGGTAGGTACCTATAGTTATATAATATGAAATTTCACCGACAGAAGATAAATAAAAAAAAGTAAAAATTCAGTGTACAAAAATCGAATGGACCCCAATTCCCAAGTACCTATTATTACCAACACTCACACAACACACTCAGTGGTAAAAATTATAGTGATTTATTAGCAGTGGTCACTATTATCCAGCTAGACAAGTACTTATATATTTTGTTCAGTCTATCCAAAAACTTGTTACCTATAAAATATCTTGGTATAGGTACCTATAGTTATGTCTCTGGTGCCTAACAATTTAGCTTCTTAGTAACCATACCTACGTCTGTATAGTCTGTAAACGTAGTCTTGGCCACTCTTAAGTATACAATTATTTTTAAACTGTAATAATTATTTTATACTCAAATAAGTGAGTTTTATTTCACACCGCTTGTATAAAGTACTACCTAGCTAAGTACCTACTTTGATTATTGCAGATTCATGTATGTTAAAAATATAACGATTAAGACTCTGTTAACTGTCAATCGTATATTAAAATTGGCTCTTCTTACAATCGAGTAAGTAATATTTAATATGGATCTTTATTAATATCGTAACTTTTGAAGACTTACTCGACTTAGTTTTAATTTTAAACATAACCGTTTATTTTGTCACCTAATTTTAAAAGCTGTAACCTGTAACTATAACCAAAAACATTTATACGTTACACGTTTTTTCAAGATTTAAGCCACTCCCTATAATAAATATCGTCAACCCATACGCGTTAAACGACTCTAGACATTTTATTGTACCCATTCCTATTTGATATTGATCATTGATGTATCACATTTTACTGTGTTATCGCATAAAAAAAACAATTAACAGCGTTGTGGATGTTTGTAGAATCTTTTTGTATTTTATAAAAGCTCCAATTTATGATATAACCTGCAAACACATAATTTACTCTAAGCAATTAGAAATAGGCCACACCTAATGAATGAAACCTATATATTTGGACTTAAAATAGTGTATAAAATTGTATTACTATATTTTACTAAAATGAAAACGTAAAATGCAGATTAGTTCATCTCAATATTCGCTTAATTCATTTTTTAATATCTTAAGATGTTACCGTTGTGAGTCAATACAAAAATGGATTCACTAATGAAATGTTATAATGAACTAAAGAATACTCTCGAGTTGGTCAATAAAAATAATGACCGAATTACCACGAAGTATATGAAAAATGTTACTAGATATGAAAATACTTTAAAAGGTGAGTCTATATTATAATTGTATACGTTATAAGAGTACAATTCCAATAATATTACTTTTTTTACGTCCAAATATTTATGGTAGTTTAGGTACCTACTAGTTACTACCTATTTATATTATATATTAATATCTCTAATATTCTGACACACATCGATTGGCCAGCGGCCACACCATACACTAATACTCAAAAAAAAAAATAATAGTGCTGTATGAAGACTTCTATTACGATTGTAAAGAATTTTCACTTAATTGTGTAGAAATGAACAATCTGCAACAAGAAAATAAAAAATTAGAAGAATATATTTCTGAAATAAAAAACTATATTCAGATGATTGAGAAAACCAAACAAGAAAATGATTATTTGCAAATGGTTTACGATAAAAATGTTTCAACAATATCCAGCAAGTTTATTAGTTCATACATTTTTTTAAAAAGTTTTAACAGGTAATAATATCCCATATATCATATTTTTTGTAGAGCTTAAAGAAGAGATGTTTAACAGTAATCAAGTATCGTTTGATAAATTATTACCCCTGGATCTAAATGATGACATTTTGGGGTTCGATTCAGTTTCATTAACAGTATCGAAATCTGTACCTATATCTTTATCTAGTTTATTATTTTTTTGATTTTCAAATATTTATGTATAAATAAAGTCTTAAAATATGTTATTTATAGGAATTGCAAATAGATCCCCAATATGAATCATACGGAAGTCTTTATCATAAAATCCAAAACGATTCTTCGGACTTCCGTAACACTGTGACTTCTTTGTTTGATTCAATGAAACAGACAAATATGATAATTGAAACAGAAATAGATTATCTAAAGTCAGTAAGTGTATTTAGCGTTGACGTTATTTATTAGGAGCTCAAATATTGAAGTGTCGTATAACATCGTAGTGTTTTTGCAAGAATTATGACTGTAAAAACTTACTGTTTTTAAAAGTAGGTACCTAATAAAACGTGCTTATACCTACATTAAAGTTCAAACTATATAGTATATGTCCAGGTATATAAAATACATTTATATAACATACATATAAATATAAGTTATTACCCTTCAACACTAATTATTAGTAAGCACAAAAAAGTTTTAAATTCCAATAGAACAAAACATTTAAACATATAAATTATTATAAACCAGTGTAGTGTACCAACTTACTGGGCATTATTTGAATATTTTGCACCCTGTGGCAACATATTTTGCCTCTTCCCCCAAAACTAACTTCATAAAATGTATTTACTTAAGGTTTAAACTTGTATTTTGTAGCATAAATGTGGTTTGGCTCCCAAACAATTTTTGAAAATTTTTGTTTGAAATCTTTGTATTTTAATGAGTTAAGAACTATAGATCTACCTGTCTTGGTTCACAATTGACCTTAAATATTTTTTGTAATTATTAATATTATTTTCCGATTAGTTGATGAAAACGATTTACATTTTTGAGCTGTAATACTTAATTGTTTTTAACAGAATATGTTATAATAATAATAATAGTATACAATATAAATGTATTTACTTTTTGATACTATTAACACACAATAATAATATATCAACATAAATTTGCACCACCTAAATGGACTAAAAAATTTGACATCTCAGCCCCCAGGTAACAGGGTGTACTTGTCCTCTCTTAATACGTTTCTGACTACTTATAATGTACCTTCTACACTGTTATACTAAATGTAGGTACATAATATATACGAATATACAACACGAATATTCCGAGTGGATGTGTCCTTTTTTTAAAAATATCTTATGGACTCCGTTATATTAGATTCAAATTTAGTGCTGTCAAAGTGTCAACAAGGAGATATCAACAAATATCTAAACTACAAATACTTTAATATCGTAGTCGTGGTTCACTATTATTATGTTGTGGATAATTAACGTAACAACGTTTTATATTTAGGAGTTCATCCACGTATAATCATTACTTACGTAACTAAATGATTTATTTTTGACATGAAGGGATGCTACTCTGACATTTTTTGTCTCTGTCTTACACACGTACGACTTAGAACATTTACGTTCACTAGTTTCAATAGTGTGCTGTCAGTTTTGATATTTGAGTGAATTAACCTATTACAAAAGTTTTAGGTAAGAACATTATCTATGCTTAAACGTTGGCGGGTTTTTGGATATTTTAATTTTCAAGCGAAATATGAGCATTTTTGATTTGTGTTACTTCACGCATATTTGACATACTCGTATCTTGCTTGAAAATGAAAATATCAAAAATCTGCCGACGCATAGATAATATTCTTACCTAAAAGTTTGATAATTTTTAAATTTACTCTAATATCAAAACTAACGGTACACTATTCAAACTAGAGAACGAAAATTTGCTATGTCATACGTTGGTAAGACGGAGACAACAAACGCGTGAGTAGCATCCTCTTAAAAGGACGCTACACTGACATTTGTTGTCTCCGTCTTATACAAGTGTGGAACATAGGAAACTGTACTCTCATCAGAACACGATTATCTCTGTTAGTTTAAAAATTAGAGTGAATTGAAGTCTTATAAAATATAAAGTTAAGATTATTATCTAGGGCATCTTATAGGTTTTTATTATATTGTAAGTTTAAAACGAATTATGAGTATTTTAAAACTATAAATTGTTTATACATCTTAAAATACTCATAACTCGCTTTAAAATTAACATATAATAAAAAGCTTATAAGATGCCCTACATAATAATTTTAACTTTCAATTTTTTAAGAGGTTAATTCACTCAAACTTTTAAATCAAAGGAGATAAACGTGATTTGCAGGAATTGCTGAGAGTAAAATTTGCTATGTAACGCAATTGTATAAGACGGAGACAACAAATGTCAGTGTAGCGTCCTCTTAACTTGATGTTTATTAGTTATTGTATTTATATTGAAAAAATAAATTTTCGATTTCAATTTCTCTTCTTTTTGTTTATTATTAAAATTTCAAAGATGATAAAATACAAATCCTATTTTTGTGTCAATGGCAAGTAGCATACCTATATCATAGACTTATTAATTATGAACTATAGTTCATGGGTACCTTATAGGACCCATGATGTATATCAATATATCATAATGATTAACATATAGTTAACCATACGTTAATACATTTTTTTTTCAAAATAAAGGTTGCTAGACAAACAACTGAAACAGTCGACGTAATAAAAAAACTATTAAACAGGATTTTGCAAGACGATCAAGAAGCCATACAAGAAGTAATATAAATAATAAAAACATAAAAATCATACAAACAGAACTTATTTAATTATATGTATTTTACAGATAGTAAAAAAACAATGTATTTTAGGACGAATCAAACTGGATAATTCTTGTCATTTAGCTGTATTAAAGTTAGATTTGAAGTCGCTTGGAAATCGTGAGAAAATCAAAATACCTACTTACACATACAATAATTATTCTTCCTGGTATTTGAAAAAACTCAACGTTCAACGTTTATTTCGTATATGGAGCAATATAATCATCAATAATGTCAATGTGCCCATAGAAAAAACCAGGAACTAAATTTGTAATACTGTTATTTTACCTTGATTAATTTAGTTCTTTAAATAGTTCCATATACTTCTTGAAGAATATTATATATAATTTACATGAACATTATTCAATATAAAAGTTTTGAAAATTATATTAAATTATTTATTACAGAACGAATAAAGTAAACTCCTACTTGTACTTTGATAAAAAAACTTTTATTTTAGATTTTGAGCGGCGCGATGAATGTATTTATTCAATGATGAAGGTTTTTTTTATTTCTATTTGTGCGTGTCATCACCTTTTGGGGCAGTAAAAATGCTTAGATTTTCTACTTCAGCATTATTTCTGGTAGGAAAGTGAATTAATTTGGTATTTGGGAGGAGAGGGGGGGGGGTGGTCTAAAATGAATTCCCAGTAGTTTTCAAAAGAGTCAGGTAGAATGTTAAACAAAACAAAAAATTAAGGAAAAGCTGAGATTTATACGTAAAACTAGTTTTCGAAAAAATCAATTTTGTTTTTTTGACGTAACACTAAAAAAAAATAAACGTAGGGCATCTACATGAAATTTTCACCAAATGTTTTCTATATCTATGCCATAATAATTTGATTGTTTTTGAACTACTTATGGGCTCAAGAAACTATCGATTTCCTTTTTTTTTGGTTCAAAATCAACAATACATTATTTTGTAATTAAGAGGACACCATACCCGCATTAGGATCTCCGTCTTGCAAATTGTATATTTTGATTAATTCATTCAACCCTGTTATATTTAATCTTACAGTGAATTGATTTATTATCAAATTTAGAGGTAAGAATATTATCTAGCTGATGACATAGGCTATTTCTTATATCTCAATTTTAAATCGAGTTATGAACATTTTTAATAAATTATTGGAACATTTTAAAATGTTCATACCTATAATATATTATTATTATGTTATGCGTCTGTGAGAGTAGCTGAGACAAAGTATGCAGGCATGACGTCCTCTTAAAAATGTTTAAAATGTACAATTGTGTGAACATGAAAACATGTAAAGAACTGAGAAGTGGAAGATTATAAAACGTATCATTGTAATTGTGTTTGTATTATACATACCTATTTAAACTGAAGCAAATCGGAAAACGATAGAAAGATCGAATTTTTAACTGGGTTAAGTTGGGTAATACTGCAGCTAATTAATTGTAGAACTATAGAGTTTAATTGTGTTGTATATTATTTACTTACTACACCAAATAAAATTAATTCAACTACCTATCTACAGGGAAATAGATTCAACATTTTAGACATGAGTTATAACCGAAATGTAAATTTCCAATATTCAAATAAATAATAATATCAAATGAATTGGTACCTACCTACAATTATTTTAAGTATTAAAAATTGTAATCATACATTTAGCTATTTAAAATATATGATATTTAAAAAAAATGCTTTATACTATAGGTAGTACTATATCGTTGTCATTTATGTTATAATAATAATAAAACAAAATTTCACATCGCTTCTATACGCCTATAGACGTGAGCGCTGCCTAAAGCGCATGGCTTTAACAAACTCCGTCGGGAGGAAACTAAAGGCCGCAGGTCTGTTGGCAGCGATAAAGCTCCCCAATATCAAAATATATCGCTTACGGCACACTTCACCTGAGCGAGTGATACAAATTTGCTGCTATATTTAAAAATCTAAAGAAGGCGTAAGTAAAAAATTCAATAAAACATTGTAGTTATTAACTATTTATTTTGATTTTTATATTATTTAGTATATTTCATTCTATACTCATTAATATAATTTAGATGATTAATATTATAGCGGGCAGTTTAAATATGTCCAAAATTAATATTGTGGATACGTTGCATTTTTATTACAATAACTCTGTGAAGTATTCAAAGGAATTGAGTTTATATTATTTTAAATTAAAGTTATTAATTATTATAAATGTAGATTTTTTTAATACATTTCGGATAAATTGTAATATTTTATTAAGATAAATAAAGGGATATAATTAAAATATTATAATTTACAATAAATTATGACTATATAGTCATTCATAACTTATACTTTTAATAAAAAATAATCAAAAAAACTTCATTTGTACCTAACAGTATTGCATATAAAACTCCATTTAAAATCTAAATAGTGGCCACTATATTATAGAATCTAATACGATATTTTAGTTTTTATTATTATTTAATTGTCTTTAATTATATTATAGTTACCATAGTTATTTTAATTTTCCATTTTAATTTGTGGTAAAGATAAATATAAAGAACCTATTTTTTATATTTTAGTAAAATAAGACGGTACTAAGAATTCAGCAAACGTCGAACTTATTTTAACAAGCAAGTTTTTATTGGTAGCTTAATAAACTGTAAGTGTTCATATAATGGATAAATATAAATACATATTATAATAAATGGATTTTAGGATATTTAAAAATAAATCCAAAATAATTGTTATGGTAAAATATTTTAATTGATAGTTATTTTTATTTGGAATTAGTAAAATATTGGAGGAGTAAAAACAATTCACTGGAGGATACACAACTTTAAAATAATTAGCTACTTTAGGTACATTAAGCTGAAGAATACGATAGTTGTATGATTTGAAAGCGTACTTGAATATTATCTAAAGGTTTATATTTTAACAAAACAACATTGGTACAAATTGTATATGAAAATAATACAATTTAGGACCTTTTAATAAATAATTTGTGTTTTACAAACATGAAATAATAAAAAATAAATATTCTGTGTTGACTTGTAAAATGTAATTATATTTTTAGGAAATTAATACACTATTTTCAATTTAAATATTTTCTGAAAAGGTTAGTTTGAGATTTAAATTTATATAGATATTTCTTCGTTATCCATAAATATTTGCTTAAACATTGATATTGCAAAATGTAGTATATTATGGAATTCAGAAACTACTATTTTTTAATTTATCAAAAATTTAGATTTTTTACTTTATACTTCAACATGGATCCCGCAGTACTAGTGAAATTGGAAGATGGTTGGTGTTCGTTATACTCCTCTGACAGCAAATCGTTGCTAAAGAAATATCTGACAAAAGAAGTACTAGATGAATTAAAGAACAAAAAGACTAACTTTGGATCCACACTTTTGGATTGTGTGCAATCTGGTGAGTCTACGTTTTAAATTATATATAAAATATGTTTTAACGTAATTAATAATTATAATTATGAAATAGGTACTTATATAAGTGTTATAACTTGACAATATAATAACAACATTTAATAACTTTATACAGGGTGTTTAATAATCATATCGTACCTATATTAAAGTTACGATAATAATGTAAGTATAGCAATTTAAATGTACAAAAATAAAAAGTTAAATATATTTATATATTATATTAATTGACAAATGCAAATTATCGGAGTTATAATGAATATTTACACAAAGAATACTTTATGGTCTGAAATATATAATATAACCTCTAAATATATGGTATCATCAACTTTAATTTTATCAAAAATCAAAATACAATATTGTTATACAACGTTTAAGACTTAATATTATTTATTAAAATAGTTTAAACAGAAATACATTTCATCACGATTAATATGTACCTCAATATGTTTATGCTTTCTGCGTAATAAAGAATAATTAAAATCAAAATGTTAGTAAAATTATTTTAAAAAGTAGGTTTTTGTTGGTTTTATAATAATTAATAACTATACTTAATTTGTTTTAAGACTGTTTAGAATTGTATGTGATATAGAAATAGGTACTAATGTACTATATACACATATGAAATTAAATATAAATGTTTTAAGTAACATTATTAATTAAAAATGAAAACATAATATACCATAGCATTTTTTTAAACTATTACACCGTGTTTACAATGAAGGATTGTGTGTTTAGTATTGTTATTTTATTGTATTATTCTACTATTCAAATAGTATAGCAACACTTTATGTTTTTAAGACTTGGGTAAAAAAATATAATTTATATTTATGATTATAATTTGCCTATACATTTTTAAACTATTTTTTTTTTAGTTGCATTTTATTTTATTTGAAGTAGTTATCAATGGACACCTCTTCAAAAAAGTCATGAAGTAGTTTATTTCTGTTAAATACTTAAGTGTATTAAACATATTGTATGGCCTTTATAATAGAAATCGTAATTTCTAATGAAAAAATTAATATACTTTTCAACTAAATTGAACAACGATAAAAAGACGTAAACTAGTAAGGTATTACTCTTACTATTATAGTCATTCAAATAAATAAAAAAAAGGCGACTGTACAAAATTGGTACATAAGTTATATTAGTTATTAATTTAATTTAAATAACAAATAATTAACTATACAAATAATAATCTAAGCAGTAGGCTAGACGTCTAGTTCACAAATTATAGGTACAATATAATTATCTGTGTTCTTGTATTTTTTTACTATATAATATTTACAGGTTATAATTTTTAATTAATTTTAGTTTTACAAGTTGGAGTAAGTACTAATGGTCGTTTCAAAATTAAATTAAATAGCTTTTATGTTTGACACATTTCAATCTTTCGATTATATTTAGAACATTTGCTGTCAATCATGTATCTGTTAGACACCGTTTTGGCAACGCCCCTGTCACTAAAGAAAATGAAAAAAAAAATTTCAAAATAATATTCTTTTTCACCAATGATTAATGACACAAGTAAATAAATCGTATAACAACGTTTCCATTGTCGGCACTCTCCGGGCACGTATACACATTTTTTTGTTGTCGGGGATGTCTCGCGTTCAAATATAGGTCACTGGGAATTCGAGCTAGACTGCTTGACGCCCCAGGATCAATATCCCGGATTCTGTACCCAGCATCTCTCCTACCCAAAACTTCCCACCCACTACAACACTTACCTGCATTAATCTTCAAGGTCAGCATTCAACGAATATGCATTATTATCCATTTCCGATTACTTTTAGATTCAGATTATAATAATTTAAAAGCATTGTTACAAAAACAGAGATTAATATTAGATATACTCTTATTAAATGAGTTTACATAAACCTTTATTTTGAAAGAGTTAAAAGCTTAAAAAAGGGATGATAAAGTAGACGAAGTACTGAAAGTATATACAGTCGTCAGTCAAAGTATATTTTTTGTTTCTTTACAGGTTGACTGCCATGTGTACATTTGTTTGTACACGAACAAATCTCCATACTTGTATAAACAAATATTTTTATACTATCCAACAAATTTTAAACGATAATTTGCAAAAACTTCTTTTTTTTTATAATTTTGTTTTTTGTTAATTAAAATATCCATTTGATATCTTCGCTGAATAGCCAAACTGGTCCTAGGGGCTACAATATTTAATTCCAATGTTAAATCAGTACAGGCGTGTACACATTTCTGTACATGAAAATAAAAATGGTAAGTAAAGGAGTGTACATAATTTTGTACACACGGCGCAGGGTAAAAAGTATCAAAAATCATTGTGGCAGTCAACCTGTTAACATAATTTTTTTTTCGTTTTATTCATTTTTTGAACTTTATAGTAGTTAGTAAATGGTGGAACAATTCTAAAAACAAGGTACCTATATAACATATTTTCTTCATTTGTTCAAAAATAATTATTAGTTACCTATACCTACGTATAATATTGTAAAAACTGATGGTTGAAATGTAAGGGTAGTCGTATAAAATATGTAATTATATTCTTTAGATTCTCATTACCTAGAATGTTTGTGTGAGAACTATATTATTACTTTATCATTAACTCTATATATTATTAATAAATAGTTATTATAATAAAGTAAGATATCATCGTTATAGATGCGTTTTGAATCGTTTCTGAATGGTATGATTGTTCTATATATTATACGTTCCCATTTACGAGCAAGTCGGGAGTAGTAACCATAAGACCAAACGTTTTCCATAATATGATACATGAATCTCATTTTCAATGTACTTATTGATAATTTTAATTTATCGTGTTCAACGAACTTGAGATCGCATTGTCACATTTTTCTTTCGAATGAAATTCATCAAAAATTGAATATTCCAATTTTTAAATTACGAAAATGTTGTACAAAAATATACGGGCATCAATGGGGAATAGTATTGTGTTTACTAAATAATAAAAAAAGCAATATTCTTCATTTTTTATTTATTCAGGAATAAATTTGATAAAAACTAATAAATATCAAATTTAATGTAGGTATATTAAAAACAATATTTAGGTAAATAGTTGCTACAAATATAATAAATAAATTATTAAAAATAATTATATGATTAATGCATTATGCACCATCGTAAACAATATTATAATACAAAATATTATATATGTCACCGGCAATATGAACAATTCAGGTGTTTTGAAAAATGCCTAGACATTATGTATATTGCCGACGTATTTTAGGCAATGTAAATAAAACATTTGATTTTCAATATTATTTTATATATAACCTAGGTATTTTATAAAATACCAATTTTTTTAGGCAAAGTAAAAAACAATTTATCATATGTTATAATAATAATAATAATAATATTAAGATTCTTATAATTATTATATATTATTACTCATATTACAAAATTTATTATTTAATATATATATATTATTATGTTTTTACACATAGGTATTGCTATATTATTAATATTATTGTTATATTAAATACTATTATGTATGCATTAACTTAAAATACTAGTTACTTATTACAACATGTTGTAGAAAATAGCATTTTGAATTGCACTAAACATTATTTTTAAGGAAAATGCACTTTTCATTTTGACACTTGGTCCTACTAACACATTTAAAAAATCATTGGCCAGTAATAGTTCCTGTCGACTGTTCGTAACGCCACTTCTGTGTCTGTTGGAACCACGTAAATTTGTAGTAGCTTTTTCTGACATACTGCGAACTGACTTCTGGCGTATAGCCGCTTCAGAACTTCAGAATTTTAATCCTTATTGCATCAAATCGTGCACGCACAGACACGGTATGCGCATTTATAATAAACTATTAGTTAAGTCGTTGATAATAAGTGATACGCTGCAATTTTGTTTATTTTTGTCATAATTCCTACTCCACGTTGGGCATTATACATAATACCCAGGCAAAGCTCGTATTATGTATATTTCCGAGTGATTTTTGGCATTTTATATAATGCCTAGGTATTTTGAAAAATACCGGATTATCCACATTGCCGGTAACATATACACTGTTTCCAAAAAGAATATAATAGATTTACATAAGAAAACCGGTTTTGCCCGTGGCCGCCTGGTATGTTCTCTTTTGAAACAGGGTATAGAACATAAAATATGGTACTTTAATATAACAAAACAATAATTATTATAAAGATTTTACAAAAAATTTGCATATAAAATATACAAAACAAGTAGGTGTATAAACATAGGAAATTTTGTTCATAGTGACAAAGCAATACAAATATAAAGCAGTAAGTTTTTATTTATAGTAATAGGTTGGTGCATTTAAAAAAAATGCAGATACAAATAAGACAGTTTTTACTTTGGAACTTATATATTATTTTCCCGCCTTTTTAATTAATTAAATTAATTGTTATTATTTATTTACTTAATTAAATATTATTTTATTAAATACATATATATTTAAGGATTTGAAAACCATGATTCGGGAGTTGGTATTTATGCTCCCGACGCTGATGCATACACAGTGTTTGCTCCAATATTCGATCCCATCATCGAGGACTATCATAAAGGATTCAAGTCCACAGACAAACATCCCGCCAAAAATTGGGGTGACGTGAACACTCTTGGTGACCTGGATCCAGAAGTAATATTTATTCGCCAGCAAATTAAAAGAAAAAATTCAAAACTTTTGCGTTTTATGGACAGTGCAAATACATCATTTCTACGAGGGTACGTTGTGGTCGTTCACTGGAAGGCTATCCGTTCAATCCATTGTTGACCGAACAGCAGTACAAGGAGATAGAGAATAAGGTTTCTTGCACACTCCAGGGACTAGGTGGTGAATTGAAAGGAGAGTTTTATCCTTTAACTGGCATGTCTAAAGATGTACAGCAGAACTTAATCGATGACCATTTTCTATTTAAAGAAGGTGACCGATTTTTACAGGTGCGTTCTATTAAGTAGGTACATACTACTAGAGGGCAATTGGTAGATACTTGGCACTTTTGGGTATATAGGAAAATATAGGCGTAGGAATGTAGGATATATTATATAATACGAACTAGTGATTGTTTATTAAGGTATACGTACAATTTAACACATTTAATCTTTAATACACTAACATAAATGTCAAATATAAACAAATAATATTCGACTATATTATGATTATAGCTAATAAAATGTTAAAAAATTGTTAAATAGAAAATTATTTTGACATTTTAACATATTAGAACACAACACTAATTCGTATTGATATATGTAACAACAATCATAATAGATATACAATGTACAGATTTGGCATTTATATTTCACCTATATTTATAAGTTACTATACTAATATGCAGCTGTAAACTATAGATCCTTTATTTATGTTTATTGTTGTTGATAGTTAACTACTATTTTGAAAAGATGATTCAAATATAAATTGATATAGCTTATTTAAAAATAAATAAGAGATCGATATGCATGTGTTATACTTATTATATAATACCTAATGTAAGTACCTACGTCATATTTGCATAAATGTTAATAATAAACAATGAAATAACTTTCCAATTTTGATAATTTAGAAAAACGGATTTGTTCATAGATGAATTACAAATTAGAACTACTAATTAAAATTGTAAATAAAATATAAATTTCTATTTTTTTATTTTTATAAAAACTATTTTAATATTTTTTTAGCGTGTTAAGGTGTTCACTTTAAAAACCTTCTATATTGGATGTAATAAACTTATAGTAATAGTTGTTGGTTATATATAATTATTTAAATACAAAAAAATTAGACATTTAAAAAGTAAAACACGTATAAGTTATTAGTTGTTACTATTTTATTAGTTATCAAATGATTATGCACTATATGCACGTGTAATTTAAGTTGCCTATACTTAACTCCTTTAATATGTCCATCAGTAAACTGATTATAAGTTATTTTTTTAAATATTATTACTAATTAAACCCACGGCAACAATAATGTCCATTTGATGATATTTACAAGGTTTTAAATTACATCATGTGTATGGTGACAATGTACAAATTATAATAAGAGTCAACTTAAAGCTGGACCTACAGTAAAGTTATATTAGGTTGAGAAGATTGACGGTGATGATAAAGTTGTTTAAGGCTGAAATTGAGTTGGGGTCCTGGTTGAGTGACGACGAGAATAAATCTGGAAGCATATAGTATTTTCTCTGACCTGTACGGCATTTGTTAAAATATGTTTAATGAAGATGCGGACCCCGCATAGGATGCATATTGGACAATGGACGTCCTCTTTAAGAAGCCGTGTGAAATTTTTGTGTGGATGATTTTAAGTCTGGTGATGATAGCTAGAACTATGACGAGGAGTTTTCTGGGCAATTTGAAGTGAAAAAGCCAGTAATCTACATTTTGTTTAATTTCATCTTCATATAATTTGGTGATTTGAGATGATCACTGTTAGTGTCATGTATATGTGTATACATATAAGTTATACAATATAATCGCATTATAATACCAAATACCTTAAGTTTATTTAACAAGAGCATTGATTTTAAACACAATTGACAAAATGCATACAATATTTGGCTAGTGTATATTTTTAGTTAACTGTGCATTATGCAAAATATTAAACATAATATAACAGGAAAATCCAAGGAATCCGAATCACATCCGAAGGTGTTTTTATAAATCTCAATGAATTTATGTATTTATAATATTATTATGATTTAAAAATTAAAATTAATCATCAATGTAATGAAATCATTTAGATTAGACAAATATTAGTTCATATTGATATTCACCGTGAGATAATTTTTATTGTAAAAATATGCTTCATAATAAAACGTAACGTTGTAGAAATTAGGAGGAAGGGTAGAGGTATAATATTTTGGTCAACGAATCCTAAACACAAACCTAAATTATAATATTAATAATGCAAAGTTGGCACTTGGCACTATTTCTAACTCTAACATTTTCGTTTTAAATTAAAAACCATTACATTTTAATAGGTATACTTTTTTAATATACAAAGAAAGCCTAAAAATTATGTATTGTTGCATTATTTCACAAAAGGTAATCTAATATCCATGCAATTTCAAATAAGTAATGCTAGTTAGGTAATATTCAACTATATTTTATTAAGTAATTTAGTAATATTGTTTATGTTGAAATAGGCTGCTAACGCTTCGCGATTCTGGCCGACTGGCCGTGGTATATTCCATAACGAAAACAAAACGTTCCTGGTTTGGTGCAACGAGGAAGATCATTTAAGGCTCATATCGATGCAACAAGGAGGAAACTTGGGAGAGGTTATAATTAATTCAAGTATACAATTATGTAGTTATTAAACGTGTCAATAATTATTGTTTAAAGGTTTATTCGAGGCTCGTAACAGCGGTAAACGATGTGGAAAAACGACTTCCATTTTCGCATCATAACCGTTTGGGATTTTTAACATTCTGTCCAACAAACTTGGGGACAACCATCCGTGCATCAGTTCATATTCAGCTGCCTAAATTAGCCGCGGACAAAGCTAAATTGGAAGAAATTGCTGGAAAATATAATTTACAAGTAATAATATTTTTAAATTATTTAATAACATTTTTCTAAATATTTATGCACATTTTAAGCTACGTATGGCTATGGCATATTTATACTACGAACTTATTCACACAGTAATGTCCGTATTGACTCAAAAGTTAACAGCAATGATATGACATGCATAATATAATTATAATAACTTATAATATAATACATATTTAATGCAATACTTTATGGTCAACCTACTGTTTTATTCATAATAATGTAAAATGTATAAGTGTGATCAAAATGATTCATATGATCATGTTTTATATCATTTTCTATTATTAATTTATAAACTAAAAACCAGGTTATGAAAAATTTTTTTTAGTAACAAGAAGATGAATTAAATCTAAGATAAATAATTGCATAGGTTGATAATCAAAATAATATTTAAACCACAAATTTTATCTTTAGGTTAGAGGTACTCGCGGAGAACATACAGATGCAGAAGGTGGAATTTATGATATTTCAAACAAGAGGAGAATGGGTTTGACCGAGTATCAAGCTGTTAAGGAAATGAATGATGGTATAAAAGAGCTCATAAAGATCGAAGAACAATTGTAAGTCTGGGTGTTATTACGTCCTACATGCGATAGGTCTTTAAATTTCAATAAATCTAGTCAAATAAAAACAATGTAGTATTATATTGCTTCTTTTTTTTTACTATTGTTACTTTATTTTGCTTGAGCAAAATATTGTTAACGAGGTTATAAGCTTATATAATGGACATCAAGTTACGTAATAAATTTCAATAATATTATTCTATTATACTAATATAGGAACAAATGTGAGAGGATAATATTATAATCATAATAATGAACAAACTACCAGATTTGTTTCCATTATTTAATAACATAAAATATGTCCTCTTATTTTTTTCGTATTATACTAACGTAACTTCTAGTATATCTTTAATGTTTATTCAGTTTTAAAGGCTTTTAAAATATATCTTCCGCAATCTTAAACACGATTAATTTAAATATGTACGTAATTGTGAAGCTCATTCGTTAAATATGAAGTATTAGACAGTGGTGGTCCAAACTTTTTGGGTCTTTGAAGCAAATTGTATATTTTTAATATTTTTACCACCAACCACCCCCTTTATTGCATTAAAATGATAATTTACTATGTTAATTATTATATTTTTTATGACAATAATTGTACTGAGGTATTACAATTATACCACCGGCATCCACCTATATTAAACATGAAGCAATTGCTTCAAATAGTATTATATCCCGCCGCCACTGGACTATTAGATACTTATATTATATTATGAAATAATATATGTTATTGTAAGTTTAGGTATTTTGATTGTTAACAAAAATATTGTTGAATAAAGTCGATTGAATTATTTGTATTGTTTTATCAATTATTTAAGGTATTAAATTAACGATTTAGCTGTAAAACTATTAAGAGGACGCCACACCGGTCGTTTTCAGCGGTGAAAACACGTCCACGGAAAACAAATTAAATGGCATCAAAAAGTGGTTTTAGAGTAAAAATACTTATTATGAAACTTATAGAGAACAATATTTCGGAGGGAACCTCATCGGGGTTTTTCGAAATATTAACTATTAAAAAAGTTACAGTTATTTAAAAAATGAAAAAAAATTGGTTTTTGTGCCTTTAATATCTAGCTGTGTATTTAGATTAATACAAAACCCCGATGAGGTTCCCTCCGAAATATTGTTCTCTATAAAATTTATTATAGGTTTTTTTACTCTAAAACCACTTTTTAATGGCTTTTCGTTTGTTTTTCGACAGCATGTTTAAGTCGTTAGATTTGATTTTCCATCGCCATCATGTGCTGCCACCTACTTTCCGTTGTGACGGCGCGACCGCGGCGGCCGCGAATTCCCCCACTACGCGACAGTCTCGTACGATTGTGGGTCGGTTATCGGCAATGACTGGCGCTTCCGAGAAATAGATTGTGCGCCGATTATAAACCTTACTATTATAGTAATATGGATTATTGACATTATAGAAATGACAATAATGAATAAATAAAATTATTATAATCAGGCAATTGGCAATCATAGACGGCATTCCATCTCTGACCGACTGGACTTGATTTGAGTTCAATCACTTTTTATAATATAATTAGTATTAATACACTATAATAGGTGTAATCTGGAGGGACAGGGATTTTACCACAGCTTGCCCTCCCAAAAATGTTCCCCGGATTATGCTTATGTACTACGGATATTATAATATTTTCTGGCGGTAAAGACATCAAACTTCAAATAATGCATAATTTGTCCAGTAGTAATAAATTCTAGTACCTAATCAGTAATCATATAAAATAAATATCTCGTATTTCTCTACATAATGCATGCTATAAATTATAATGGTATATTGCTGTAATGTAAAAAACTTGAATTGATGTTTAAATTAATTGGAACAATTATTATTATAACATTAGTATGACTATTATGATTTATGACTATGCCAAAAAAAAAATTTATAAATATACACACCTTACTTATTGATTACGAATTACGGACAGCAGGAGTAACAATATGAGACTACTAATAGCTGTATTTCCAGAAATATGTATAAAAATTAAAAATAAATATTCAAGTATAATTATTACTAGGGCCAACAATTATATGCCCTAAAAATCTATAAAATATGTATGCAGTTATGCCCTAAAAATTACCAAAATATGCCCTTAAAATATGCTCTAAAAAAAAATGTTATTGTAAAAAAATGATTAAATGATTTTTTTTTTTTTATGTATTATACAATTTATACTATAATAATACAATATTATTATTTATTGCCAATGAATAATGATTCACAAAAATGTGTGATATTAAAAAATATTTAAAATTAAAAAATTAAAATTAAAAAACAAAAACATTAATCAGATGATAAACATTTTAATTTTTACCCGATGTTATTACATTGAACAATTAATGATTTGTATACGTTTTCAAACAGCATTGAGCGTCGATTGTCCGTTAACAAATTTTTGTAGCGTGAAAAGGAACGTTCTACATCAACGGATGTAATAGGTGCGTATTTATAATGTAACAAATCGTTGCTGGTCAAATTTTCTGGAATACCTTCTAATGTGGATACATCACCGGATAATACTTTAGAAATTTTCGTAAGAATATGAAAACCATTATTTTTTTTAAAAACATCTTCACATTTTATATTAATATCAGTGCCATTTGTACCACTAACTTCACATATTTTACTTCGCGCAGTTTCTATTAATTTAATTGAGTCTGCTAGTAAAACATTCTGGCTTTCTAAAGATGTTATGGTAGTTGGTAAAAATCCATAGTTTGAATAAATAAAAGTTAAATTTGCTTCAACTTGATCTTGAGAAATTAATTTTTGAACTTTGTCTATTGAAACGGCGTCTTGTATTACATTTCGAATAGCTTCTATATGTTCGCAATAATACATTGAAGCAGAAATCCATGTACCCCATCTTGTTAATATAGGCGTTGGAGGCAATGGTATACCTGGAGCCTCAGTTTTAAACAAATCAATACGACTTGGCGCTTTTAAAAATATTTTTTTTGTGTTTGAGACAAGTTCGTCAATTTTTGGAAATTGACCACGATTTTTTTCTGCCACCCGGTGTAGCC